CCCGCCTGCGGGCCCGCCTCTCCCCCCTGGCGGCCGCCTGTGCGTCCATGCGGTTGCCTGTCCGCCTGTGCGGTTGCCTGTCCATCCGTGCGGCCGCCTGTCCGTGCAGGCGGAGGCGCCGGGCGCCGCTTTGCCGCGCAGATCCTGGTGCTGCGCAACCACGGCGTGCTGGCGCTGGGCGACACGGTGGAGGAGGCGTTTTACAAGATCTTCCACCTGCAGGCGGCCTGCGAGATCCAGGTGGGTGGCGGGGCTGTGCACCGAGCTGCGTCGGGTCTCTGCTGCGAGCACGGGGGCTCCGGGAGCACGCACCGAGCTGGGCCAGGGCTCTGCTATGGTGCCTTGGGAGATGCACTGAGCTGGGCCAGGTCTCTGTTACCAGCACAGGGCCACAGGAGCATGCACTGAGCTAGGCCAGGGCTCTGCTATGGTGCCTTGGGAGATGCACTGAGCTGGGCCAGGTCTCTGTTACCAGCACAGGGCCACAGGAGCATGCACTGAGCTAGGCCAGGGCTCTGCTATGGTGCCTTGGGAGATGCACTGAGCTGGGCCAGGTCTCTGTTACCAGCACAGGGCCACAGGAGCATGCACTGAGCTACGCCAGGGCTCTGCTATGGTGCCCCGGGGCCATGCACCGAGGTGGGCCAGGTCTCAGGCACTAACACAGGGCCACGGGAGCATGCACTGAACCGGGCCAGGTCTCTGCTATTGTGCCCTGGGAGCATGCACCGAGCTGGGCCAGGTCTCTGTTACCAGCACAGGGCCACAGGAGCATGCACTGAGCTGGGCTAGGTCTCTGCTATTGTGCCCTGGGGCCATGCACCAAGCGGGATCAGGTCTCTGCTGTTAGCACCCTGCCTGGGAGGTGCACCGAGCTGGGCCAGGTCTCTGTTACCAGCACAGGGCCACAGGAGCATGCACTGAGCTGGGCTAGGTCTCTGCTATTGTGCCCTGGGGCCATGCACCAAGCGGGATCAGGTCTCTGCTGTTAGCACCCTGCCTGGGAGGTGCACCGAGCTGGGCCAGGTCTCTGTTACCAGCACAGGGCCACAGGAGCATGCACTGAGCTGGGCCAGGTCTCTGTCACTAGCACAGGGTCATGGGAGCATGCACTGAACTGGGCCAGGTCTCTGCTATTGTGCCCTGGGGCCATGCACCAAGCTGGATCAGGTCTCTGCTGTTAGCACCCTGCCTGGGAGGTGCACCGAGCTGGGCCAGGTCTCTGCTGTTAGCACCCTGCCTGGGAGGTGCACCGAGCTGGGCCAGGTCTCTGCTGTCAGCACCCTGCCCTGGGAGGTGCACCGAGCTGGGCCAGGTCTCATGCACTAACACAGGGCCACGGGAGCATGCACCGAGCTGGGCCGGGTCTCTGCGGCGCTGCCCCCGGCGCGCGCACCGAGCGTCCCCTTCGCCCCAGGTGTCGGCGCTGTCGAGCGCCGGCGGCGCCGAGAACCTCATCGTGCTGCAGCGCGACAAGCACCGGCCGCACGAGGCCGGCTCCGTGCGCTGGGCCGGCAGCACCTTCGGGCCCATGCAGAAGAGCCGCCTGGGCGAGCACGAGTTCGAGGCCCTCATGCGCATGCTCGACAACCTGGTGAGTGCCGGGTGGAAAAATCCAAAAAACGGGCAAAACCCTCATAATTCTCTTGGTGTGCCAACACGTGCGCTTCCGTGCCGCCTCCGCAGGGCTACCGGACGGGCTACACGTACCGCTACCCCTTCGTGCAGGAGAAGAGCAAGCCCAAGAGCGACGTGCTCATCCCCGCCACGGTGACGGCCTTCGTGCTGGCCGAGGAGGCGGCGGTGGCGGCGGCGCCGCGCCAGCACGCGCAGCGGCAGCAGCAGGAGAAGATGCGTTGGCT